ATGTTCAGAATAGAGACTTTATCTCGATAGATTTTTCCTGTCATGAATATGAAAAATCCTTCTCCATGTCTTTTGACTAATTTTAGTTTGAAGTCTATTTTGTTAGATATTAGGATAGCTACAGAAGCTTGTTTCTTAGGTCTATTTGATTGGAAAATCTTTTCCTAATCCTTTACTCTGAGTAATGTCTGTGTTTGTAGTTCTGGTGTGTTTTTTTTATACCAGGATGGATTCTGTTTTCATATACAGTCTGTAAGCCTGTGTCTTTTTATAGGTGAATGGAGTCCATTTATAGTAAGGGATAATAATGACTGATGATTGCTAGTTCCTGTTATTTTTGCTTTTGTTGTTGTTGTTGGTATTGTGTGTGTGCTTCTCTTAGGGTTGGGATTTGTTGGTGTGGGATTATCTGTTGCCTGTGTTTTTGTGTATGTAGCTAACTGCTTTGGTTTGGAGTTTTCCTTCTAGTACTTTCTGTAGGGCTGGGTTTGTGGATAGGTATTGTTTAAATTTGGTTTTGTCATAGAATATGTTGTTTTCTCCATCTATGGTGATTGAAAGCTTTGCTGGGGATAGTAGTTGGGGCTGGCATCCATGGTCTCTTAGTGTCTGCATAACACCTGTCCAGGACATTCTGGCTCTCATTGTTTTCATTGAGAAGTTGAGTGTAATTCTGATAGGTCTACCTTTATATGCTACTTGGCCTTTTTCCTTTGCAGCTCTTAATATTCTTTCTTTATTCTGTATATTTAGTGCTTTGATTATTATGTGATGAGGGGACTATTTTTTTTGGTCCAGTCTATTTGATGTTGTATAATTTCTTGTACTTTCATAGGCATATCTTTCTTTAGGTTGGGAAAGTTTTTTTCTATGATTTTGTTGAATATCTTTTCTGTGCCTTTGAGCTGGACTTCTCCTTCATCTATCCCTATTATTCTTAGGTTTCATCTTTTTATGGAGTCCCAGATTTCCTGGATATTTTGTGTTAAGAATTTATTGGATTTAACATTTTCTTTGGCCAGTGAATCTGTTTCCTCTATTGTATCTTCAACACCTGAGATTCTCTCTTCCATCTTTTGTATTCTGTTGGTTATTCCTGCATTTGTAGTTCCTGATCATTTCCCAGATTTTCAATGCTTAGAATTTCCTCAGTTTGTCTTTTCTTTATTGCCTCTATTTCAGTTTTCAAGTATTGAATTGTTTCCTTCACCTGTTTGATTGTTTTTTCTTGGTTTTCTTTAAGGGATTTTTTCATCTCTTCCAATTTTTTGTTTGTCTTTCCCTCCATTTCTTTAAGGAAAAATTTCATTTCCTCTTTAAGGCCTTTACTATCTTCATAAAGTTATTTTTAATGTTGCTCTTCTGCTTCATCTGTGTTGGGATATTCAGGTCTTGTTAGTGTGTTGTTAGTCGATACAGGTGGAGCCTTGCTTCAGGGGCTCCCTCTTCCTCCAATTGGTGCATTTGGGGGCTGTGGTTCCATTGCTCACTCCTTCAGGTGTAGGCAGGGCTAAGCCTGTGGTGATTGCTCCTCTAGTTGTAGATGGGCCTATAGCTCAGATGGTGTCTCCTCTCCATGTAGGTAGGGCCACGACTCTTGTGGTTACTCCTCCAGGTGCAGGCAGTGCCCCAGCTCTAGTGATAGCTCCTCTAGGTGTAAGTAGGGCTGACGCTGAGGTTCCAGTGGTGGCTGGGAGCTGAGACTCTCCTGGTGCACCCTGAGGCACTTTTTACAATAGTTTCTGGAAGCTGCTCTTATGGATGCTTCTGGGGTTCTAGCTCAGCCACTGACACCCAGTCTCTCTTTCCCAGTGTTCATGTTTTTATTATTTAAAACCAACAAAACAACCATGTGCTCTTGGTGTAAACCTCAAAGGTACAAAGCGATGAAAACTAAGTGAAATCTCCCCACTCCTCCCGTGATAATCAATATTGATAGATTTTTATGTCCTTTCAAAACATATGTGCCTTGTTCTTCCACAAATGGAATTTGTGCTTGGCAATCTGTTCTGTAAGTTGTTGCTTTATATTACAATTTAAATTAAACATTCACTCTTCATGCTAAACAAATTGCATTAAAAACCTGGGTAAAGCCTGGCAGTGGTGGCACACATCTTTAATCCAAGCATTTGGGAGGCAGAGGCAGGCAGATTTCTGAATTTGAGGCCAGGCCGGTCTACAGTACCAGTTCTAGGACAGCCAAGGCTACACAGAGAAACCCTATCTCCAAAACCAAAACAAAAGAAGAACAAACAAAAACAACAAAAACAAAACAAAATCCACCACCAACAAAATTTTGGGTAAATGCTTTTTTTTTTGGCTCACTGTTTACTGCTAACACTCCTCCCACCCCCTCCATAGTCTCTCTGTACCATCATGGTTTTCATCATTCAGAGACTTATTATCTGCCTTTCAGTTCTCGTTATTTGCTAAGTGCTTTATTTTCTGAAGTTCTTTCATTCCCATTTCTAACTATGACAGGTTACTTAGGTCACCTGTGTTTGTATTCAGTTTATTGACTACGTTTCCTTTCAGTTGCTGGTTTCTTGTAATATTGGAAGTAACCATGGACAAATTTTACATCTACTGAAACTAATTGAAATCTTCCTATTATTTAATACTCTGTGGATTAGGTAAATTTATTAATGTTGATCACAGTTGATTTCCAAAGTACAAAATGACAACAGCAATCTTTAACCAGGCAAGGCGTAAGAACCTCAGAAAATGGTCTTTGTGAACAGGCTAATTTTTTGACACTTCTAAGTACTTAATAAAATAGATGATATTTATACTTAATAAAATAAATGATATTTATAAAGAGTTAATGAAAATAACCATTTGCTCTCTATGTAGTGAGGTTCATCTTTCCTACTTGTGTGTTTCAAATGAAATAACTTTGAATTTCCAAAGCAAGCAAATAGTTTATATTTCTGCATCTCTGAAATAGCCTACAGTGGTGATACCCAAGTTGCTGCTCTATATAGCTTTTGTGTAAAATATGAATATTGAAAATTTTAAGGAAAACTTTCCCATGATCAAATATCTTGGAAACTCATGATTGAATTAAGCAGTATTTTTTTCAGGGGTTAGGTAAGAAGTGGTTTTTTTAAGAAATTTTGTACTTCAGTGAATTTTGAATCATTATTAGAGGATTTCTGAGATCATCTCCTCTGATTCATCCCTGTCAACTCTTTATGTGAGAGTTGTCAATGTCATTTATAGCTAGCATTTCAAAACTATTAATTTGGAGTGACCACCATTCCCTCCTTCTCCCAACTGTTAATTGTATTGAGAACTGGAGGCATGAAAGTTGCCTTGCATCTTTCCTAGAAGGCAGTGTGACTATCCAGAACACAGTAGATTTTTAGGATTCTTGGAAGAGTTGCTAATGCTTCTGCATTTGTGGAGTGCACCTGCTCACTGAAATGGATTTCTAGTCTTTGATCAACATGCCTGATGCTTTCACAGTCATTTGCTGACACAGGAAGAATAATGGAAAATTCAGTTTTCATATTTCACACATTCCCTGCTGAGGGAAGGCAGAGAATGGACTTGTTTCTACCTCATGATGCAAACAAATGTCCATTTAATATAGTCGGTTTGAAATCAGTTTTCCTCATTTGTTGGTTTATGATTTCACTGTTTAAAGTGATTTCCTGTGTACTGTTGCAATCTAGTGTTTGTGAGCATGAAGGCTGTAAAGCGACATAAACAGCAAATGCTCTGTATGTGCTAGATAAACTGCACTCATGTATGAGTTATGGTTCTTATTTAACACAAATACATGTTAGAACAACTCTGGGTGTGGAATAATATTCATATATCTAGTAATAACCAAGAAGGACCCCAAAGTTGCAAATAAATTTTAGAGAACAGGCAAACTTACTGTCTAAGGATGGACAAACTCTGGGGCAGCTCAGAGAAATGTCTGAATGTACAAATAAGGATGTGCAAGAATATTTGTGGTAGCATTTATTAAAATAGTCAATAAGCAGTTAGATGAATATAACTGTATAAGTACAAACAATGGAACTTCCATAACAATCAAAGGGTTAAAGACTCCAACAGGGAGACACAGATGACTCAGGCAGCATAATTTACCAAAGGGAAATGTGAGAAGTGGACAGTGCATCTTACAGAACAACAGCAGGAGGCAGCTTTGAAAAGTGGTCTGAAAAGAAGAGATAAAAAGAAACAAGGAGAATATAAAAAACTAAAAGACTGTGTGCCCTCCAATAGAGATATGGTTGCAGACAAATGTAGAGTGAATGTAAGCTGTGTCTAGAAGGTACAAGAAAAATATTTATTGACACATAAAGTGAGAATATTCATTGACAGCATTAAAGATAATAATTCATATCAGGAAAATATCCAGAAGTATGTTCAGTAAGAAAAAAGCAAGATGTATGTGAAAACAGAGAAAAACAAAACATTAAACTTGCAGATAAATGATAACTACAGTCTACAACAAAACACCAGGATTCTGGATAGAGACTCCATCGTGGGTTAGCTCCTGCTGCGGCTTTCAGGCAGTGTTGCCAACCACGAAGTCACCACCAGCCTAACATTGGTGAAGCCACGGGCTTGTCAGGGCAGCAGACATCCCAAGAACTGTTGATTGCAGCTATGAAATAATCTCTCCTGTGCACTCAGCTCACTGTGGCTTGTGCATATCAGCCCTGTGGCCTTGATCTCTTTGGATTGTGAACAATTAACTCAAGTTTGGATTTTCAATGCTGGAAATTTTTCACCAAATTTAAGAGCTGTTTTTTTTTTTATTATTCCTCATTTTGTATTTTTTCCTCAACAAACTAAAATGAAATTTGTAGTTAGAGATAATTTTTATATTTGCAGTTCTCCCTGCATGTAATTCCTAATTATAGGTGACAAAATAGCTTCTTAAATAGCTTATGCACATAAATCATATTTTTCTAATGAGAACATTCAAAATTTGATTTTGTTACTGGTTTTTGAAACTGTCTCTTTTTTAAATGCTGTAGAGTGAATCCCAAAAGACTGTTACATTGCATACACTTCAAGACAGCACATTGGGGAAGGACAGGCACTTCACCATTGAGCTGACAGCAGCTGATGAGATAGAAATATCTCCAATGAAAGGTAAGAAAAATTCCCATAGTTCTTGAAATGAGATGTCTCCAAAAATAAGTAGTTGCAAAGGCAGTCCATGCTAGGTTTTGTAATTTGTAAAAGTGTGCATCAGTGTAAACATATACATTTTGTTTATATTATAGCAAAGTTTTTAAAATTAAAATTATAATACAATACTTATAATTCATACAGGTATAGATCATATACTTCCAGGGTTTTTTTTTGTTTTGAAGTAAAACTGTTCATTATAGTGTTGCTTATAAAATAAAATATGAACACTAAATGATTAAAAAATAGTAAGCTGTTAAATGTCACTCTTCATTACATTAAAATAAAGAATAATTACTTTTTAGGTGAAAAAGTGTGTGTGTGGGTGGGGGATGCGGGAATGTGCATGGGAGTGCAGTGTGGTATGCAGGCCAGAAGAATTGAATCTCACTAGGACTGCATTACCTTGAGTTAGGAGCTGCCCTGTACAGGAGCTGTGACCTCAACTTGTGTCTTCTGCAGCATTTAACATGCTCTTAAATGCTGAGCCATCTGTCCAGCCCCAAGAATTACTTTTTAATGATTTATTCATTTTAGTTTGTATGTGTGTGTATGCCATTGTGTACATAAATGCGTGTGTGTGTGTGTGTGTGTGTGTGTGTGTGTGTGTACATGCATGTGTACATGCATACACATGCAAAGGTGCTCATAGAGACCAGAAGAGGACATCTGATCCCTTTGAGCTATAGTTTACAGCGTTTGTGAGCTGCTTGTTGCAGATGCTGGGACTGAAACTTGGTTGTTTTCAAGAGCAATAGGCATTCTTAACTTCTAGATCATCTCTCTAGTCCCCAAAATTCTTAATTACATGGCTAATTGTTGTGTTATGAAAATGGGTTTCATATCAATATGTTCAATCAATATAATCCCATTTTGTTATGTTTTTATATTAGGTGAATTTAGAAATATTATCTTGAAATGCTGATAGTGATGCTTGATTGATTATACTTTTATGTATTTATAGCAATTGTATAGTGCATAATTTAAAAAACTAAAACAAAGAATGTGATTATTAAAGCCTATGTCTACATGTTTTTATCTAAAATTAATCACTTGGCTATTTTGATATTTAATAAACAGGTGTCCTAATTCTTAGATCTTTATAGGAAAGATAGTTCTTAAATGATTTCATTGTACTATAAGTAATAATAACAACCATAAGGATAAGAAGGTTTTAAAATGGAAATTTGCTTATTGTTACACAGTCCCTTTATAACATTGAAACTCATGCTACACAAGGCTCTGGAACTTTTAGTGGATGCTGTGGCCAGGAATGTTCTCAGAAGTGTATATACTACTAAGGTGGTTGGTCACTCTTTTGTACATTAATCCATAGTATTGACCAACCTGAGAAATAGTCACATAGAGGCACCATATCATTCATACATTTTAAATTAGGTCAGTGACATCACATTAAAATGGCAGGGCTGATGTTGCATAGGATGATTCTGCACAAAATAAGAATATATCCATGGGCAAGGTAAATCCCTTATCAGCAAAAACAATCTCTTACTCTATTTCTGTCTCATTGTGGCATACTTGTAACAAATCTCTCTTAGTTTCATCAAGCCATTGCTAGGAATGCAAATGCACCATAATCTGTTTACATTTTTTGATTTTCTTTCCTATAAAACTCCAGTCTGTGCTTCTGGAAGCAATTTTCATCAAATACGACTAAGTTGTTGTAGGTATTCTCAAAGTATTAGGTAGTTTAATTTCTATTTTAATAATAATAAATAATCAGCTTTGTGACTTGTAGTCAGAAAATTAAAAGTTAAGAAAGGTGCCCTCAGGAATGTCTCTGACAAAGCCACACAGCCAGCAGCAACAGGATGAGCACTGCAAGGAGTCAGTTCATGCACACAGTAGAGGGCAGCTTGCTTACAGTGAAGTGAGAGTGGAGGTTTCACTGTCTCCTGGCTGCTTCTGCAAATGTGATCATGGGAAATTCCTTAAAGGCTCCAGTGCCTTTAACCACCCTCCTGGTTAAAGGTGTATAATGTGTATACTGCTTGCCTGCTGTTATTACCAACTGAGTTTAATTGGTTACTGTGCATGTGCATTTACATGTTTGCATCAAAATGGGCTATATGATCTTAAACTTAGGTAGTGCATCAATAATCATTCGAGGAGATAAGGGTGCATCAGAAGTTGGGATTGCTTCATCATCTAGACACATCATTATCGGGGAGCCCTCAGCAACATATAATGGCACTGGCATCATCAGGTGAGGATTTTATGAATTTTTTCTTCATTTTATTTAAATAGTCTAGAGCAGGGATCTCAATCTGTGGATCCAGACCCCTTTGGGGTTTGAATATTAGATATCCTACATAGCAGACATTTACACTACAATTCAAAACAGTAGCAAAATTACAGTTTTGAAGTGGCAACAAAATAGTTTTATGGTTGTGGGTCACCACACCATGAGGAACTGTATTAAAGGGTCACAGATTAGGAAGGTTGGGAACCACTGGCCTAAACAACCATACTCTAGCATACCTAATCCTCATTATCACATGCATACTGTTAGGCATTGTATGGCGAGCAGAGCAAACGTCAGGCATAAATTAAAAACTGTACGTGAGCTGTCCTGAAACTAGATCACAAGTTTCCTGGCTCACTTAGGGATGAGCTGCACGGCCCACAAAAAGAAAGTACACGGGTGTAAAATCAGACAGTCCCACTCTGTGACTCATACAAGAGCAGTTACTTCCTCTGTAAACGTGGAAAGTTTGCAACTTTTATCCCAATACTCAGGCAGATCTCTGTGAATTTGAGGTCAGCCTGTTCTACATAGCAAATGCCAGGCCAGATACATAGTGAGACTCTGTGTTCCGAAAAGCCCAAATGTAGAAAAGGTATGGTAAATTAAATCAAAATTGTATTTATTTGAGGAGTAAACATGTAGATTTATTGGTCAAAAGGTTTGCTTAGTGTATTATTGGGATGAACTTAAGATAAATTCTCTTAATTTTCTTAATTACTACAGAGCAAACATTTGATAAATTTAGTGGTAAAACATGACTTAAGCATAAAAGGCAAAACTTAACTTTTCAATATAGGACACCGTAGCTCCAAGTTTTAAAACATTCTTCCTTAGAGCAGGGAGAGCACCAAGATGCAGTCTCCTCATTCTGACAGTCACTTTTGTAAGCGTATGAATTAGCTCAATAATACTAAAATATCAATTTGTTGTAAGAAGATATTAAAGATGGAAAATGTCCGATTATAAGTGGGAAAACTTTATGAATGGATAGTCTAGAATATTCAGTCCATAACACCATTAACCTGTTAATTCATTAAGATTAGTAGTCAACCCATGGGAGGCTTGCCCCTTTCTGAATGGAGATGAAGGAGGTGTGGATGAGGTTGGGTAGAGGTAGGTGGCAGGAGGGAACGGGAAGAGAAGGGACGGGAAACTGTTGTCGGTATGTAAAATAAATGAACAAATTTAATAAAAAAGTCACCAATTTCATGGCAATTTTATATTCACACAAAAATGAAAGTTATTAAAAATTTTCCATTAAGAAAAGATTATTAGTCAAGAGGTTTACATGTAAGATTCTGTTGCATTTCCAGACAATACTACTACTAGAAAATCATTTCAAATGAAAGTATTGGAAGTTTCTGACTCTCAAACCAGACCCTACCACATAAATAAGTAGGTATAATGGTGGGAAGCTTTGTGTCCATGCTTTCTAGTGAGGAATGAAGCAGCAGGCACCAGGCAGTCGGCCGGGTTGGACTGGAGGTTTTATCTTGGCAGCTGTCTGAAGTCCACATCTGGTCTGGACTTCATCCACTTCCACGAGTCTCCACTAGTGTTTCTGTTTTTCAGATGACCTGTTCAGTTATTTAGAGTCTATTTGGATGTTAAATAAAAATCCATAAATGCTTACTTTAAAGCTTCAGGTTTAGTGTTCACTTTTGTCAGTGTTTTTGTCAATGTGGATATATGCTAGTTTAGGTTACTGTCTTGGAATTCTAAGACTTTTGCCTGCTTTATAATTGATTGGAAAGGTTATTTAAAGGCATAATATTCTTGAGATAAGTGAAAATTGGTTTAAAGGCACAGAAATTGTTTAATAAATATCATTAATTAAAAATGAACTAAATATGTATCCATGTACTGTTTGTTGTAGCCTTGTTCGTGGCCCAGGAGTTTCAGGGGAGATCACAGTGTATTGGAGGATATTTCCTGCTTCTGTGGGCGATTTTGTTGAAACATCAGGACAATTGACAATGCAAGATGGACAGTCTGAGGCTACGTTAGTCATTCAGGTACCAATGTGACTGTCTTCTGTTAGTTTGTGTGTGTGTGTGTGTGTGTGTGTGTGTGTGTGTGTGTGTGATTGGAGGGAGGTTACAGAATGCATGACTTTTTATGGCTAGGACACTTTACGTTTTACACATTCTTCTATGAATCACTTTTTTTTTTTTAAAAAAACTTCTCCAGGCTTTGAATGATGACATCCCTGAGGAGAAGTGTTCCTATGAATTTCAGCTCACTGGAATCAGTAAGGGTGGAGTGCTGAATGCAGCCAGCATCACCGCCAGCATCACCATGGTGGCAAGTGATGGCCCCTATGGCCGCTTCTCATTTTTACATGAACAGCTTCAAGTTTCAGAAGCAGCACAGAGGGTATGATGGGGATGACTTCAGCTCTTATTGTTTCTAGTGTACTCAGCAGTCTTTATAATGCATTTCTTTTTCCTTCCTTTTCTAAAGCGTTTTTTTTCTCCTAATGGATTAATTTCTTTCTAGTATCATTTTTATGACATGTAATTTCTATAATTGTATAGAATTAAATTTAATTCCAACGTAGTCCTAGTGAATTAGAGATGATATGTACAGAGGCTTAAACATTCTAATTAAACAGGTAAGCAATTTTTTCCTAGGTTAATGTCACAGTTGTCCGCTCAGGAGGCTCTTTTGGAAGTGTGCGAGTCTGGTATGAGACTGGTAGCAAGACGGCCGAGGCAGGCTGGGACTTTGTTCCCATATCAGGGGAGCTCCTCTTTGAAGCCAGAGATAGGACGAAAAGTCTGCATGTTGAAATCCTTGATGACAACTTGCCTGAAGGCCCTGAGGAATTTGTTCTTGCCATTACAAAAGTGGAGCTCCAGGGCAGGTAAAGGCAGGGAAATGGGGGTGTCTGAGCAAAAAAGAAAGAGGGGACACATTGCTCAGGACTGAACAAAGAAATTAAGATAGACGACTGCTTTCCTAATTTTCTAAATATTATTCCTCTACTTCTGTGCTGAGGGACAGGGTCCTAATATGTGCATTCATCCAGAAAGACAGGGAATTTATGATGAGGCATCTCTAATCCTGTGGGGTTAGCCTGACTGTTTTCTAGGGTGGTGGCAAGAATTGCTTCCCCCCTTTCTGGCCCCATGAACAAATGGGAGTGGGAGGCAGCTGTCATTGGTATACCAAAGTCTGTGCTGTCTTCTCGGTGGGTAAATGAGATAGATCCTTGCCTGACAGCAGTTTTTTTTTTCCACAATTATCATTTCACAATTTTATCAGTCAATAAACCTTATAGATAGTATATAATCGATGTGGCATTTCTTTTACATTTTCTGAGAACTTAAGATCACAGCGAATTTTCTGTTTCTTTCTTGGGACACAGGCTGCTGTGTAACTTCAGGCTCCCCAATTCAGCATCTCTGCAAATAATATTTTTGTATCCTTCATATTGGCTATTCTTATCACTAATATGTTCTTGGAATTGGCACCATCTTATTACATTGCAAATGGCTTGGTGACTTGACAACCAATGAATCAGTAGTCTCTGTTGGATTATTATAGAGTAATTTATGAGTTGTTTGAGAATTTCTGTATGTCCTTTGTTTAGATAACTCATATTCAACATTTCCAAACCTCATTATAATCAGGTAGTCTCATGGTTTTAGATCTTGCTGAAGGTATATGAGAAGAAATGATGGGGACTTTCCTAGCATGGTCCTAGGGCTTGCTTGAGCGCCATTCCCTCTTCCTTTTTTTCCCCCAAGATATTATTTCTTTATTAGTTCAAATTAGAAACAAGGCTGCTTCACATGTCAATCCATCCCCCCCCAACCCCACCAGTCTCCCACCTCATCCCCCCTCTGCTCCCCAGGGAGGGTAAGGCCCTCCATGGGGGTTCCCCAAAGTCTGTCATATCATCCTGGGCACGGCTTAGGCTCTCTCCCAGGTGTCCAGGCTGAGAAAGCATTCCTCCATGTGGGATGGGCTCCCAAAGTCCCTTCTTATGCCAGGAGTAATCAGTATTTACCTGATAGCAGTTTTAACTGGAAAAACAATTCAAATGGTAGTTGTCAAAACTGATGCAGATTGATTTCAATGAAGAATCAAAATTCATCATATTGAGGCTTGTTACTTCCCTGTCGATGGTTGATTGACACGGTAGGAGGCATCACTAGCATAGAGAACTGCTCTTGGTTGAATCAGCCCTACCACCACTGTCCAGAGTCTGCCCAGGGCCTAGGAGGGGACCGTTTCCCTAAAATAATGCATGGACTAAGAGAAGTCTGGAAGTTTTCTTATGTGTTAAAATGTATATTCATTAGTTACACATTATCTTAGAGTTCCTATTTCTACTACGAAATACCATGACCAGAAAGCAAGTTGGGGAAAAGGGGGTTAATTTGGCTTATACATCCATACATATTGCTATTTATCATTAAAGGAAGTCAGGACGGGGAACTCCCACAGGGCAGGAACCTGGATGCAGGAGCTGATGCAGAAACCTTGGGGGCTTACTGCTTGCTGGCCTGCTTGCCCTGGCTTGCTCAGCCTGCTTTCTTCAAGATCTCAATACCACCAGAGATGGCACCACCCACCATGGGCTAAACCCTCCCCAGTAATCACTAATTGAGAAAATGTCTTACAGCTGGATCTCATGGAGGCATTTCCTCACTGAGTTTCCTTCCTCTCTGATGTCTCTAGCTTGTATTAAGTTGACACAAAGTCAGTCAGCAAACATAAATATCATACTTCAACTTTTAAGTAATTTTCAGGGGAATAATAGAGGAGAGCAAGAAAAGAGCTATCTTAATAGATGGAGTCATTATAGGTTTAACTAGAAATCTAGCACTAGGGAAATGTCCAAAGACATTGTGAAGAGTAGATTCCACTTGTACCAGCCTGTTTGTGACTTTGATTACTTAGGCCTTGGAAATCTTGCTTTCTGGGCCACACTTTCAGAGATAAATTTCCATGGGAATTCTGGGAAACAGTTTGCCCTTGTGGATAAATACTGGGCTTCCTTTAATATAAAAAGGAAACAATAGAATGCAGTGTGTTTCCTGTTTTGCCTCTTAGTAGAGACCTACTGCTTTGGTAGTTCTTATGGAAACCAACCAGTCTGCAACAGATCTCAGGATGCTGGAGAGGCCAGTTACTCTACCCATAGAGTGTTTTAACCTTTATTTCTCTGTTTGCCTCACATGAGATCTTATTTAGCAGCTTTCAATCTTTTGGTCAAAGTAGTATGTGAACACCATATACGAATTTGGGAATTAAAGAAGGGATTGGAATTGTTTAGTATCTTTTAAAAAATTCTTTTACTTTAGGAATTGAAATACTATGAAGGCATAGAAGTCAGAGCTTGTTGATGGGAGTGACATGCATCTGAAAAAGGCTTTTGCAGAAATACGTTGTTATATAAGTGAGCTGAGGACTGAATTGGAGGATGTTGATTGTAATTGAATTATATTTCCTTGTAGTCTTATTATTTTTATTTTGTCCAAACTTGTAATTTTATATAAGCCTTTGTTTTATGTAAGCACAGATACCTGGGAGCAATATAAAAATCTTTTTGTGAAAACATCACTTCACACAGAACAGCCTTAGTACTGGAGACATTCAAGATGATGACAGTGCTGGGGTAGAACTTTTGTCCCATGTGCTGTGGGCTCACTGTGCAGCACTACAACACAAATGATGCTAGCACTTAGTAGCGCTAAGGCACGCTCGCTAGAGAGACCGTTAAGTTCATGCTATGCATGTGTATGTTTGCTATTTTATTTTGTTATGATTTATTTTTTGTTTCCTGTGACTTTGCAAGTGGGTATGATTTCACCATCCAACCGAATGGACTTCAGATAGATCAACCTCCTGAAATTGGAAATGTCTCCATTGTTCAAATCATAATAATGAAAAATGATAATGCAGAGGGCATCATTGAATTTGATCCAAAGTACACTGCCATCTCAGGTAAACTTCCTTGGCTTCCTTGTCAAAATGGTCACACATTTTCTGAATTGCAAAGGAATCTGAATTCTTACATGCATTTTTTTTGTCTGATCACAAAAATATCCCTACATTTAAAAAAATATTTTCAGTTACTTTTAGGTAGTCTTGAGTCTCTTTAGTTTTGAAGCCAAATGATTACTCAATCTAGAAAAAAATGATGTTTAAACTTTAAGGATGATTAAAATATGTGTGTTACAGCATTGTTAAGTGTTGGGGAGATGGCTCAGTGGTTAAGGATGCTTGCTACCTGTCTTAGTTAGATTTTTCTTGCCAAGATAAAACACTACCGACAGAGCAGTGTGAGGTGGAAAGGGCTTATTTCGTCTTCTAGACTGTAGTCCATCATCTAGGATGTCAGGGCAGGAACTCAAGACAGGGACCTGGAGGTGGGAGCTGATCCACAAGCCATGGGGGAACACTGCTTACCGGCTTGCTCCTCCTGGCTTCCTCAGTTTGCTTTCTTATACCATCTAGGACCACCTGCCCAGAGGTGACAACACTCACAATGCTTGGGACCCTGACACATATATCATTAATCAAAATAGCACCCCACAGACTTGCCTACAGGACAATCAAATAATACCCTCTTATCCCAAGTTTGTTAGGTTGTGTCAAGTTGACAAAAACCAAACAACACACTGCACTTGCTGGAGTTTGGTTTACCCACATCCACATCTGACTGCTCAGACCTGCCAATAATTCCAGCTCAAGGGGATCTGATGCCCTCTTCTGGCTTCTGAGGAACTTGCACATTCTAAGACACTAATAAATACATGAATAAAAATTAAATCTAAATTTTTAAAGAAAGCCTACCAAATGTATGTAAATTTAATTTGATGTGATTATAGCTCAGTGTCTGTGTACTCTCTAGTGAATAGTCACCATTGAAATGAACATTTTCCTGTACTGTGGCTGCAGATAATATCTGGGCCTTGACCTTGTCTTCAGGTCATTTCAGGCTTGCCTTGTGTTGCAACTCCCCTTTTCTGTGCAATTGGAACACAGAATACGTGGCTGTATCTCTCTCTTCCTAGACAGAGAGGACTGCCTTTCTAGAATATAGTTTTATTCAAAGAATGCATATAAATACAATTTAAAAGAAAGCTGGGAGATGGTGGCACACGCATTTAGTCCCGGCACTCAGGAAGCAGAGGCAGGACGATCTCTGTGAGTTCAAGGCCAGCCTGGTCTATAGAGTGAGTTCTAAGAGAGCCAGGACTATACAGAGAAACTGTCTCAAAAAAACAAAACAAAACAAAACAAAAGAGTATATACATATATGTGTGTTGTGGGTACATATCATATATATATATATAATTTAAAAATAAACATACTATCTTGCTTATGCAAATAATTTATTGGCTTCACTGCCTCTACCCAGATCTCTGTCCAGCTATGATGAAAGTTGGACAGAGCCCTCTCCAGACTTTCTGGATAAGCCATGCTGTTGTGTGAGCTTTAGCCCATCACTGGTAAAGAGATGCTGCATTTTTGCAACAAGAAATAAATAGGATTTTTTTTTCTATTTACTCATTTGTCATTAATTCATTGTTTTGTGAGGAAGTTTTGACAATGAATACTATTTTATTTAAAATTTGAATTTTTACATTAAAATCAAATATTATATTGATGTTTTCTGATTTTCTAAGATTAAGAATACAATAGCTTATATAGGTAGATTTTGAAACATTCATACGAGGGCTATTGAGATAGCTCAGTGGGTAAATGCATTTACTGCCAAGCCTAACAAGTTGAAATCAATCATAGAATCCAAGGTAGGGAAGGGATCCAATCTCTGAGCACCACCCATGTGATATATATATATATATACACACACATATATATATGTACACAAACACACACATACACACAATATAAATGTGAAAAATACCTTATAATAGAAATATTGTAAGGCTCCCTTACATGCACTATTTGTATTTCAGCCAAATTATAGAAGCAATCATAATACTTCCCTTTTATATACACCCTGTGTTTATCTACCACTCTGTGTTATTTATCTATCTTTTTGTGCATAGCATGAGGAGGAAGAATACCCATATTTATGAATACCCATACTATTTTTTAAAAATAGTCACCCTAGATTTCAACATCTGGTAAACTATATTCTTCATAAAAAGATTAGAGCCAACAGAACCTTCACTAATTTTTTTAAAGTGACAAGTGAACTGTGACAACCAGGAGAGTGAGCAAGCACTAGACTATTATTTTGAGTGGCCTGGTCCAGTCTGGCTGTATCATGTAAAAGTTTTGAGATAGCCTAGTGGGTAAATGCCAAGCCTGACAAGTTGAAATCAATCGTAGAAAGCTTTTTCTAGTAACCAGGAGAATTCTATATCCTGTTACAGTGGAGGAAGATGCCGGCATGATCACGATTCCGGTGTTGAGGCTTCGTGGAACTTACGGCCTTGTGTCAGCTGATTTCAGGTCCCAGGGCGACTCTGCTGTTCCAGGCTATGCACCGTATGGTGGCACAGTCACTTTTCAGCATGGGCAGAATCTCAGCTTTATAAATGTCTCCATCGTCGATGACAATGAAAGGTTGGTCATTCAGGAAACAGAGTGGGCACACTTAAAGTGCAGGTACTAGGTTCTAACTTTTACTCTGGTTTTATAATGGCGATGAACGTTCCTGCTAAGAAACAACACTTGAGAGAGTTTGGGGAATACCAAGAAAGAAGGAACTGTGGTTATATACCTCGTTTTTCCCCCGTTAAAATCTGGTAGGGATGTGGCAGCATCTTTGTGTCATTTTCTAAGGCCTTCCGAAGTTAGGAAGCCTAAGGGTTGGGTTGTGAGCTATTTGTGTTGAGTCTGCTGTTTGTGTGGCCGACCACCCTCTTCCTGGTGTATGCCTGCTGCGCCTTGAATATGTATGGCAATTTGGAAAATGACTAGCTAGTTAGGTTTTATAAGCGTTTTAATACGTTTAGACTCACACATTGTTCCTTCTTGTCTTGCAGTGAATTGGAGGAGCAGCTTGAAATTCTGCTCACTGGAGCTACTGGTGGAGCCATCCTTGGGCGCCACCTAGTGAGCAAAATCACAATTATCAAAAGTGACTCTCCATTTGGCGTCATAAGATTTCTCAACCAAAGCAAAATTTCTATTCCTAACCCCAACTCCACAATGGTTTTATACTTGGTGCTGCAGCGGACTGGAGGACTCTTGGGGGAAATTCAGGTAGAATCATTCTTCTGTGATGTTAAGAGTAATTCTGATGCTGGATTTTATTATTACTCAGACGTGTTATTTGTTTGTTTGTTTACTTATTTATAGTATTTACTAATTACATTACAAGTGTTATGTGGCTTCTGAGCGTGTATAAGCCATACATCTGTTTTCAGGAACTCTTAGCAGCAAATGAAGAAGTGAATGAACTTCTCTGGTAAACATCAGTTCAACAGGTGGAGAACGTGCTTGGGAATGATGTGATCTCTGTTTGCACAGTGCTCACTTGGATAAACTCGAACAGTAGCAAACCAGCTTTTTAAAGAGTGTGGTTGCACTGAATTCTGCTTGTAAAGTTGGGACGCACAGCCCGAGTGACCTGGTCACCCAGTGTGCATGGGAGAAGGGAATAATGGGGAGGAGTAAACCTGCCCTGTTGGTAGAAGTCCACCTGGCTGAGGGCTGGAATGAAAGAATCAGATGGGGCATAGGCCATTGATCACATAGGATCTAGGACTGATCTAGGACCAGTTCGAGACGTCATCGTAAGTGTGAAGAGCTCTCCATTGAGGAAGACTTAGTCTAAGAAGAAGTGGCTCTATTTTCACTTACATAGCTCACCTATGGATGCCATATGAAAGATGGGTTGGCAAGAAGTCAGGGGCATAGTGGACAAGCAGGAAGGGTGGTTGGGGGTCACTGTCCTTTACTCAGATGAGTGATGGAGACAGAGAGACAAGATGTGAACAGTTTGTTGGGTTAAAGATGGAAGCTGAAGAAGAGAGAAATCGTGGATGTCTCTAGAAGCAGCTGGAATTGGTGCCAGCCTTATGAAATTTCATAGCTGGTGTGAATTTTTAAGAATTCTGCTTTGCACGTGTTAATTTGAGATCCTGCTGGACAGGCCCATGGAGGGGTCACATAAGCCAAGTATGCTTGTTATTAGGTGACCAGGCACAGCAGGCGTTTGTGTATAGGGAGCAGCTGGAACTGTGAGGCTGTGCTACAGCTAGAGTTGTAAAGACTATGGAACTGAGCCATGGGCTCCTGACTTATAGGAATGGAAGAAGGAAGGCTGGGAAATAAAGAGGGAAGAAACCTGGGAAGGCAAGGGTCTTGTAAGCATCATGTGAGGCAGGAAGGAAGAGGCATGGTGATTCCAGAGGGAGGGTGTAGCCCACTGCTACTCACGTAGGAAGTGATAATCAAAAACAACCAGGTGGCTTTTCCCTCCAGAGGATATGAAAACTATTTAAATTGGAATTATAAAAACCTAAAGCTACGTTTGTTATAAACCAAATATTAGTTTCTGATCAAACTTATGAACACCTGTACTCATTTTTACAATGGAAATTTTAGTATATTCAGAAAAAAACTGCACAGGGCAGTATTTTCAGGTTTGGTGCCTTATTCTGCCATGCTCTGATTGGCAGAGTCCAAGCACACACTGGACAATGTTGGACTTTACCAATGTTTGCATATCCATGACATAAATTCTTAAAACACAGTTGGCTGTTCTGTGATTATTACAAATGACTAGGTACTATTTTTCAACTTTTTTATTTGAAAATATTATTTTCAGCACAGATAAACCAGGAATTAGCCTGATGTATCCTAGAATATTTTTTTATGTGTGTCCTTTTTGTAATAGCACATGTACTGCAAAAATCCCCTGCTTAAAATTGGTCATCTCTACTAAAAACCAATATGCCTTGCAGGTGAGCTGGGAGATAGTAGGGCCCAATTCTCAGGAAGTTTTACTGCCACAGAATGGAGACATCGAGGACCCTGTGAGTGGGACAGTCTCTTTCAGAGAGGGAGAAGGCGGCCAGAAAACCATCATTGTCACAGTTTGTCCTCATGAGGAAACTGAAGCTGAAGAGACTTTCATTGTTCAGCTTAAGCCTTTGAAAGATGCTAAGTTAGATCGCAGAGCTAAAGCTGTTGCAATAACAGTAAGTCTGAATGCCTTTGAGAAACACTTCGGATTCAATGGGTTTATCAGAAAGTTATTTCTATTGCTTGAGACATGCTGATGCTGAGCAGAAAAACTAAAACCTACAGAAGGGTCTCGGGATGTGGTTCAGTTGGCGTACTGCTTGCCTAGCATGCGTGAAACCCGGGATGTGAGCCTAGCATCCCAAACACCAGGTGTGGCTGTAAACATCTATACTAGAACCTCAGTACTAAGGAGGTGGAGGCAGGAGAATCAGAAAAATCAGGGTTAGCCTCTGCTGCATAGTGAGTTTGAGGCCAGCCTGGTGTACAGGAGACCCTGTCTCAAAACAAACAATAACAATTCCCATGAGTCAAACATTCTCATTGTTATATTAATTATATGGCATCTTCAATATTGATAATTAAAAATTTAGTAGAAGGTTAAAGTACTTATTGCATAATTTTAGAGAGAATTTGGTAAGTGGAGAATATTTGACATTTCTAGAGAAGAGATATTTATTGTCATGGTAAACAGAGTATCTTGTCATCAGACTTTTAAGACGAGGTTCTTATGAGTCAGTCAAAGTTCTTGTTCATTGGCACAGTGAAATGGTGTTGGATCTGACCTGAATTACATAGTCCAGCAGAGAGGGAGCTCTGGGCTAATATTGGCTCTAAAAACAGCAAAGAGAAATGATAGATTTTGTTTTTTAAAACACTGTTTGGGGTCTAGATCTGTTAGTGATTTCCAGAGAAAGAGAACCAGAGGGAAACACACACGCACATGCACACGCGCGCGCGCACACACACACACACACACACACACACACACACACACACACACATACATGTGCACACATGCACACATGTATGCACACACATATAAACACACATGTATAAACATGTACACATACACACATGCATGCACAAACATGCATGCACACAAATATACACAAGCACACATGTGCATATATATACACACTATGCATGGGGAAAGGGAAGAGAGGGGCTAGACAGGGAGAGAGAGAGGACAGGGGAAGATGAAAAAGAGGAGAGGGAAGGAGTGACGTATGAATTTGGTCAGTAGGTAGGAAACATGGAAGAGTTGCTGTAGTCTTGGTATTCCATGTGGCAGGGACAGGAAACACAAGCATAACTTCTAAGTTCCAATCTTACTGTTCAGATGTCAGTTGATGGATGAGACCTTCCTACATTATTAAGGGTAACATGTTTTATTTAGAAACAACTTATTTGAAAGTTAAATGTACCTACAAGAACTTTCACAGTGCTATCTAGAATGGTGTTTCACCAGACAACTTACCATCATATCCTTGTCCATTTAGTGTATAAAAGTGAACTGCACATGGCCTGGGGAGTATTGCTCAGTGGTGAAACACTTGGTGGGCATGCACATGCCTGGGCTTTACCCTCAGCATCAAAAGCAACAGCTACTGCCCACAGGGCCTTTTTGCCTCTGTCTGCTCTATATCATAGGAAACATCTAAATGAAACCACCTGGCTAATGGATGAAGCATGTGAATAAATTGTCACATGAAACAATTACCCCTTTTGCCTTCTTTGAGTTACCATTTTCCAATTGCTTCTGTCTTTGGAGAGTAAGGAAGATTTTTTTTTTTTAATCAAATGGATTCAGGTACTACTTCTATGTAGAATTCCTTTGGTTATCCCAAAGTTAATCTGTGAGGGTTTTTCATGATTATTCTATATTGTACTCACTTCCTGTTAACGTTTATTAGGTACAAAAGTTTGGTGACCCGAACGGAGTCATTCATTTTGCTCCAGAGTCTTTATCTAAGAAAACGTATTCAGAGCCACCACCCTCAGATGGACCCACACTCATTTCCTTCCTTGTCACAAGAGCCAAAGGCTTCTCTGGAGAGATCATGGTATTACTTTCTATTTGATTTTCCTGAATGAGTATCTGTTTGCCTCACATATGTGGTTAGGGGAACAGAGAAACTTCATGTTGTAGTTAATTCAAGTTTTGCTGATTTGAAACTAGTAGGGTTTTCAGAAGAACTGAGAGTCTTTGGTGCCTTTGCATCCTAAAGTGAGTACTGGCCTGGATGTGTTCTCTAAATTAAATTTGGTACAGTGAGCAGAACTTGCTGTCTTCATTATTATGAAGAACTGAAGTGTTTTGTATTTTCTCGATTGCTCTAATAAGAAGGCTCCCATGCTTAAGGTCCTCAGTGATTTTTGTAATTTTCTTATTATCCTTGTCAAGGCTTTATTTCTCACAGAACATTTCTATGTAAGCAAATGTTTTCTAAGAGCTGCAGCCTGTGTTTCTTGGTGAAGCCTGTTTCCCTGCTCCTGGGTGTGCTGGAGGTGTGGTTAACAGCCCAGGTGATCTGTTTGCTTAGACTGCCTTTGTTTCACAGTTTGTGAAATTTCCCTAAACACCTCATCTCTCTTCTGAACTGAAGATTAGCTAGATTTGTTTGTTTTTTTTCACTTAAAAGTTTGTGATCTGGTGATAGAACTTGTGAAGTAATGGTTAATTATTTTAAAGATATAATTTTTATAAAAGACAACTAAAATAATGGGTTATATACTTAACTTTGAAAACATTTAGAAACTTTACTGTTAAACTTGCATGTAAATAAAAAACATCCCACACCAAAACAAAGCTAACCAAAGTCTATATGACTTCTATACAGTCAAAACAGGCCTTCATTCATAATGGAAGCTATGGAGCATTGTACTTAATATTATCCTTTCAGTATCAACTCTATTTTGTGTGCTTACCTACCACCACAACAAACAACAGCAAAAAGTCCATGGCAGAATTAGAACTGGAAGAACAGTTCTTTTTATCTTCTATCATAATTAGTGACCGTGACTATAGTCAGTCCTTCCTCATCCCCTAATAATTAGCATTTCTTGTTTTTTTCTTCATGTTATACTATAGCCACATGTACATTTGTTTACATGTATGCATATATTATTGGCTAGATCCCACATACAAAAGAACACATGCATTTTTTTCTGAGCTTGTATTCTGAGCCCTTACTTGATATTATATATTCCAAGTTCACTGATTTTCCTGCAAATTTTCACTTCATTTTCTTTAAATCTTAATAGCATTCATATATATATATATATATATATATATATATATAAACATATATATCAAATCTTGAACAACTAGGTTGATTTTAATTCTTTGTTATAGTGAATGAGGCAACACAAATATGGTTGTTCAAGAATCTCTGCCATATGGTATGGAGTTCTCTGGATGTATGTTCAGGAGTGATTTAGGATACATAATATGCTTATTTTTGACCTTGAAATAGTGTATGGATCACAGGTTGATGTATGTGTGAAGAGTAAGGAAGATTTATGTGTTTATGTGTTTCTCTTTATCTTTTCAAATCGTGCTCTTACTTTAAAACAAGTCAATAATAAGATTAAAAAACACCCTGTCCTTCAGATTGGATATGAATTGAGTTCATGTACTTTCCAAACTAGCATATACTTCCAAGTTAGTCTAAATGTAACAACACATAATTTACATTTCCTTTTCCACAATGCAGAGGAAATGTAATTGGGAGGCTTCACGTTCCCCATGCTGAGTTGTATAACCACTGATTTTCTTGTTTTCATCCCAGGTGCACTGGGAGCTAAGCAGTGAGTTTGATATCACTGGAGACTTTCTTTCCACCAGTGGATTTTTCCCCATTGCTGATGGAGAGAGTGAAGCGAGCTTTGATGTCCATTTGCTGCCAGACGATACACCTGAGATTCAGGAAGAGTATGCTGTCCGGCTGGTTTCTGTAGAGGGAGGAGCAGAGCTGGACCTGGAAAGATGTACCACATGGTTCTCTGTGTCTGCAAATGACGATCCTCATGGTGTGTTTGCCCTGTATTCAGATCATCAGTCAATACTGATTGGACAGAACCTCATTAGGTCCCTCCAAATTAACATCACCCGCCTTGCTGGAATGTTCGGTGATGTGGCTGTTAGATTTCAAATACTGTCTGATAATAAAGAAGACCCCATTGCTACTGAGAATGAAGAGAGACAGCTAGTGATCAAAGATGGTGCCAGATACAAAGTAGACGTGGTGCCTTTGAAGAATCAGGTTTGTAGCACTCCTTCAAATTCCTGAAAATTCTAGCAGAACTCCTTTGGGAGAGCCCTTATTTACCCCCTGATCATTTGAAAGGCTTATTTCAATATTAAAAGGTAGTCATAAACCTGCCTTAGAAAATGCATAGTAATTATTGCACAATACATTGCATAGTCTGTAGGGATAGGCAGCTTTCCATTTAGAATCAGTAGATAGGTTTTCACTCAGATTCTGTAGGCATTCGTTTAATATGTACAAAGTGCAATGGTTAGTTCACTGAGAACTGAAGCATGTTCCCAGGGCTGGAGAAGCTATGAAGACACAACCTGACAGCTTTGCTTTGAAACTTTCGGGTTTGTACCAGTGAAATTGACCATGACTGTCTGGGATGGTGCTGAGGAGGGAGTCTAACAAACTACTCTGCTGACATTGTTGTAACAGTGACAAGAGTTGTCTTGGAGTAGGTAAGATGGCTCAGGGAATAAAAGAGCACTGTCACGATGGTGGCCTGAATTTAATCATGGTGACATACATGGTGGGAAGAGAGAAACAACTTTCACAATTTGCCTTCTCACCTTCACAGAGGAGCAGTGATGATCAAGAAACATACCAGCATCCTTGGAGGCACAGACAGATCTCTGCTGGTTTGAGGCCAGTGTGATCTACATAATGAGTTCTATGTGAGCCAGGGATTTGTGCAAAGATCCTGGCTCAAAATAAAGTAATATTTTAAAAGTTAGATGCATGGATTTCTTGAGTAACACACCCCCACAATGCCCCCCCACATACACAGAGGCCCAAACACTTGACTGCTATGAGACCCTACCAGTCTTCTGTGTGTAAATCTACAGGAAGTGATTGGAGCACAAGGATGGTATGCACTTCATTCTCTGTTATATGCAGGATGCTAATGAGTTCATTCACCTGGTAATTCATGGTGTTTGTGTTTTATGGTTAAGAAATCTGCTTGGAAAATACCCAGATTGAGAAAAATCTGCAGCTTGCATTGTGAAACCAGAAGGGAAGGTCAAGGTCATCAAGGTCATGGGGGTATATTGTCTCAGTGGAAGACCAGTGAGGAATGGAATTCTGAAGGCTTTGGAGAGTACAGAGCAGTTCAGTGACATGCTGAGCACTGGAGTCATGTTCTCAGTTAGTCCTGCTGGCCTGCCATGGCTAGCTAAGGAAGACTAGAGTAGAGAGGCCAAACTTGCCAGTTATTAATGATCGTTTTCTGGAGAAGTGGCCCGAAGGTGAATGGACATGTCCACCATTGGGGGGAGGGGCTTTGAGAAGAACTGACGAATCATAGATAACATGGCATGTCTTTCATTGTGAGTCTATGCCATGGGTCAACCGAGAACTGTTGTAAATAGGAAAGCTTTAATTGAGCATGAAGCTGCATTTTAATTAATATCATTTATATTCCCGAACAACAGCTTCCAGAGTTACTTACAATGATTCTGGTAGTAGAAAGAAGCCCACACTAATGGGGAAATGTAGTAATTTTCCATCTATGTCATCTGTGTTTCATATAAACTTATGACCCATGACAGTTAGACCTCCTTACATGATAAACAGCATGCCTATTAGAAGAATTTGTATTTACCACATCCTAGGGTCTTTATGGTTGTGAAGAGACACCATTACCACAGCAACTCTTATAAAGGAAAACATTTAGTTGGGGCTGACTTACAATTCTAGAGGTTTAGTCCATTGTCATTATAGCAGGAAGCATGGTGGTGTGCAGGCAAACGTGGTGCTGCAGAAGGAGCTGAGAGTTCTACACCCAGATCAGCAGACAGCAGGAAGAGCATGTGAGACACATTAGGCCTGGCTGGAGCATGTGAGACCTCAAAGTCCCCCCACCCCCATCCCCATGACACATTTCCTCCAACAAAGCCACACCTCATAATAGTGCCACACTTTATGAGCCTATGGGGACTATTTTCTTTCAAACTACCATATCATGCAAACTTTTAATCCTTTCCACATTTAGGTCTTTACTTTTGTTGGTGTTTAATGAGTGGAGAAAGCTGAGCCTTTTGGTAAGGCATTGATTTCACAGTTACTCCTACATTTTTGCAGAGCTGTGGGAAACTGATTCAAGTATGACTCTGGAATCAGGACATCTCTGGGATGAACTAGTCACCTAATGCAATGGAAACTCCCAGGAACCTAAGAGGGTGACCCTAGCTAAGACTCCTAGTAGTGGGAGATAAGGAGCTTGAACTGGCCATCTCCTCTAAGCAGGCAAGACTTCCCATGAAGGGATTGGGACCCCAATCCAGCCAAATAACCTCTGACTTACAATTTGCCCTGCTTACAAGAGATGCTGTGACAAAGGTGGCACAAAAGTTATGGGAGTGGGAGTAGCCAACCGATGATTGGTCCAGCTTGAGACTCATACTGTGAGAGGGAGGCTGCCCCTGACAATGCCTGGAGGGCCAGGTCCCAGCGACTGAACAGCACAGAGAACTGGGATAGAACCAATGTGACTGTCAAAAGAGACAAAAAGTACTTGGTATTTCAAAATAGTATCTGATCCTTTATTCTTTATGAAATTGGAATAAAAACATCAGTAGCTGCCAAATATTAGGTGACATGCATGGGGATGGGACATTTGGGAAAGGTGGGATGCAGTTGTGGGGACCTACAATGTTATGGTTTGCTTGCTTAGCACTGGCCTATCTTGAGAGAAAGAAATCTGTGCTTCACTCATGTTGCATGGTTGAGACAGTGGAGGTTTGCATATTTAAGGACAAGATGATGGCTAAGTTGACTACAGTAAAAGGAAATGCTTCACAGGCAGGATGAGTTGACACCACAATGATGCAGATTTTTAGGGAATATTCCTGGTCTGGACTGAGTCAGGGGTGAACTGTCATCAATGGCTGTGTTTCGATAAGAGGATACATTCCAAGTTTCAGATAATTCTAGTGTGACAGCAGTTTGTAAGTGCAGGGTTACCTAGTTTGCTAGTTGCTAAACTTTTTACGTTAGTAATCCAGCACATGGGCTTATGATTTTTATTTGCCCTAAGTATTGAAATAACTAAGGTGTCTGTTCTAAGTCACTGTCATTAGAATCATTAGTTACTGTTTAATGAAGGTCAGAAGTGGTCTCCCTGGGTTAGCTACTTTTTCTCCAGTGTGTGTTCTCCATCTCCTTGGCTCTGTGCACACTTCTCCCATGGTCCTAGTCATTCTTTGTAAGTCTGTGTATTTATTCTCTACAACTACAGCTGCACACCAGACCCTCTAAAATCTGGTGGCTTCTTTTTAAACACCAGGGGAGGCCTGTACCGACAAAGGCCTGCCTTCTACTCACAAAACTGAAGCAGTGTGTGTGACCAGGCCTCATGCCTCTATTTTACTTTGAAGATTACATAACCTTTTGTTTACAGGTCTTCCTATTGCTGGGCTCCAATTTCACCCTACAGTTGGTGTCGGTGACACTTCTGAGTGGACCTTTCTATGGAATGCCTACAATTCTCCCAGAAGCAAAATCTGCAGTTGTTCCTGTTCCTGAGGAAGCTGCCAATTCCCAGGTATTTGGCTCTGGGTGTAGTTCTCTCAGTCAACCACAAGAGGGCAGTATGAACAGGAAGCACTAGGGTCTTCAAGAATTTATTTTTTAAACTGTTATTTTGTTTTTTATTCTTTGTGAATTGAATTTTGGATTCAATTCACAGTGGATTTTGATCATGTTCATTTTCTTCTCCTTCCCTGTAATGCCTCCAAGATCTTTGCCTCACCTCCCCACTCCCTCAATTTCTTGTCCCCTTTTATAAAATTTTAAAACCCATCAAATTTAATTTGTCCTGGCCCTATATTCTTGGGGTGGGACTACCCACTGGAGTATGGTTGACTTACATGGGGGTGGGGGGGTGACTAACAAAAGAGTTTTGGGGGATTTTGTATGGTTTGTTTGTTTGTTTTTGTTTCTAAAATTAACCACTTTCTCAAAATTAAAATATCCCATGAATATCAAAGGATCCATTATATAAAATAATTTGTCAGTCCAAGGTCTCCGTGGGAAAAGATTATTCCCAGTCACACAAAACAAAACAAAAACAACACCAAAGCCCCTTTACTTTTAGTTTTTTTCCAGAAAAAAATTGTTGACTACAGCATGTATTTTCCAAGGTGATCTGAGACATAGCTCAGCCCCACTACTTTACAGGGGGCCCAGCGAAGAGTGCAAGCCAGGGATATATAGAAGGCCTGTCAGGAATGTGGGCATGGATGGTTTCAGGTCATTGGTGTATGCTCTTTGGCTGTTCTCTCCTGGACATCTCCTCCACAGGGAATGAATTTGTTTTGTCCCTAAAATGGAGTCCACAAATATTAAAAACAAGAAAAATAGACCAAACATGGTGGCACACACCTTTAATCCCAAGAGGCAGAGGCAGGCAATCTCTGTGTGACCAATTACTTCTACATAGTTAGTTACAGGCCCAGGGTCAACAGTAACCAGGGCTCTGGTTCAAAAAAGAAAAGAAACATCTTAAAGTAGCCATTGCTCTTTGGACTTCTTTGGACTTCTGGAGGTCCAAAAGTGTTCCTCAGAAAACCCATGTTTTCAGGCATGCCCTATCAGAGCCTTAAAAGAGGAGATACATCGTACTCTACAATGTTGGTTCAGTGGTAACTAGATTTCCATTGTTGAGGCCAGGAGATGTAACCTGAGCTATTCATTCAGATGGGAGTACTAGACTGGGAATCAGTCTAATTTCTTGTAAACCACTGATTAGAACGAGTTTTAGCTAGAAATCACATACCTGGGAAGAGTTAGCCTTAACACGAATTCTTATTTTATGATCCTGCGGAGCTTAGTTATGCCAACGGAACAAATAGACAACCGCAAACATACCTTGGAAGCTTTCCAAGCCTCACAAAATGTCAAATTTAATGAAATAACTGAAAGCCTTACTATCCAGTCTTACTTCAGTGAGGAAGACAGGAAATGTGTTAAGTCTGAGAGGCAAATTTCAGTCCTAGATAGGCTGAGTTCCAAAAGATGCCAGTGAACCAGTCACACCAAATGCTCTCTGAGAACTGGTCATGGCCAGTCCTGTCTGTTATCCTAGCACACTTCAGGCCAGGGCTGGGAGATTGGGAGGTCAAGGTGAACCTCAGCAATCTAGTGGGTTATACATAATATTAATGAGCAAACGAGAGACACATAGCCACTATAGACTTTCAAAGCAATGTAATCTACAGTGTTTAGCTTTGCTTTCATTTATTTATTATTACATTTATCTGTAGACGGAGGTTCTGTCCCACCTGGTCCCACAGCCATTTAGCCCCCAAAAAACACACAGAGACTTACAATCATTAGAAAATGTTTGACCTAGGCTTTTTACTGGCTAGCTCTTTCTTAATTATTAATTAACATGCTCCAGCATGTTACTCTTTCAGCAGCTACATAGTGTCTCTGGTTTTATCTTACCTGAGAATTCCCCGGGTGTCCTATCTTCCCAGCAGCTACATGGCATCTCCCTGGCAGCTCCTCTCTGCCTCCTCTCCCCAGAATTCTCCTCATATGGTAGCCCCGCCTATACTTCCTGCCTGGCTACTGTTCAATCAGTGTTTTATGCATTAATCAATAAGAGAAACATATATACAGAAGGATATCCCCCATTATTTGTCTTTTGGGAATATTTTATAATTTAAATGATTATATCTTTAAAGAAAGAAAGAAAATATGTATGGGGGATATATTGTATAATCCAAGGATGAGTTAATGTTTAACTCATTTTTTTGGAGATCAGGGAAGTTAGGCAGGAGTTTCATCCTCTAAGCATATCTTTCTTCAGGTTGGGTTTGAAACCACTGCTTTCCAACTCACCGACATCACAGCCGGCACAAGCCAAGTCATGATCTCTAGAAGAGGCACATATGGCAGGCTCTCTGTGGCCTGGGCCACAGGATATGCTCCTGGGTCACAAGTCCCTGAGCCCATTGTCATCGGCAACATGACACCAACGTTGGGTGAGTTGTCACTCTTCTACTCCAGCCTGCAGATTATGGAGCTGTGCAATTGACAGACTTCTGGGGTCATCCCTCCTGTGCACACTGAGCTATGGGAGTCCTAAAGCAGTGCTCCCAGATAAGGATAGTGCTCCTCTGCATAACTGTGGTGATACAGGCTCCTCAGTGAGGAGGAGAGAAACTTATCTAATTGAAATCATGTGCCATGATGATGATCAAGTACCCGACTGGGTCAGCTCCGTGGGGATTTGTTAGAAGTCTCTTTCAGTATCCTATTTGGCTCACACAGCAATAAAAAGAAACAGCTCTGTACACATTACATGCTCTCCAGCATTTCTGATATATGGGCAGGTGTCACTCCACATACTTAATTTTTAAATTTATGTGGGTAGCCCTTTGAGAGCTAGTAATGAGTGGATATTGGATGGTGTGACCTCAGCTGTGCTGCACAGAGGTCACAGCAGTTTCCCCTGATGGCAGTTGTAACTAACCCCTCATCTCTGTCTCAGAATTTTCTACCCTCCCCCCCATTATTTACATTGTTTCCCTGCTCACCAGGTAATATTAATGTGACTCATAAATCTCAAGACTCTGATGTAAGAGCTAAAATCCACATTCCCTAAGATGGAATGATTTTGTTTTCCTAAGTTTTATTTAGCCAAGAAACTGAAGGAAGCCCTTTAGAAGAAGAGAATAGAATTGAGACACCAAAAATGACTGCAGTGTATGTGAGCTGCCATGGCAGTGGAAGTATTGGTCCGTGTAACATGAATCTTCTACTGCTTCACGAGTTGATGCCATACACTGGAGTTTCATTGGGTAGAGCATTTCACATCCATCACGTAGGAAACCAGATCTAATGTGTCAGAATGTACTGATGATGCTTGTTTCCAGATGCAATGTATTAGAATGTACTAATGATGCTTGTTTCCTTCTTGGCTCATCCCCTAAATTACAAATCTTTTATTATCTTTCTTATTTGCATTCCAGCCCCCATCCCCATGCTTACTTATTGGTACTCTTCTGTTCTTTCTGTCATTTGTGGTGATATGTCTGCCTATGTATAACTAAGCACTTACAGTGTACATATTAGAATTGTTCTTTATGCATATGTTTGTATGTGACTCTGCTTGTGTGTAACATTTAAACAAATTTAATGAATTTTTAATAACTTGATTAAACAGAGAAGGAATTCACAAACAGTAAGTATTTATTTTCAAACAAATTAGACTACTCTTTTGAGCTCTTATAAAAACATTTATATATAATGAATAATAAGTATAATTCCTAAACTCATAGGCTAGATTTAACAGTTGCAATCTTTTTTACTCATGACAGTTTCTTCTGAGGTAATCTAAAGTAAAATACACATATTGTAATGTTTTACCCCAAATTCCTGTGATGTCAAACTCTTAAAAATTGCTGTGGCCAGAATTTAAACCACAGCTTAACACCCACCTTATAGGTAAGATTGCCTAACACCACTCCAGCCATTCTCTTTTGGTGCTGGATTTGGTAATTGAAGAGAAAGAGGGAGGAGAAGGAAGTGGGAAAAAAGGGAATGGGAGGGAGGAGGTGAGAGAGAAGGAAACAGTGAGCAAGAAACAGGGCTATGTTGTCTCAGGAGATTTCTGTAAATGTCTTTATCTCTTGTTTCCTTTACTAAACATTTTATGTTTTTGAAACCAAATCAAAATTCGGAAAATATGTCATTTCAGCGTGTGTTTTAGCATCACATTCTATTTTAAGAAGCACGAGTAGCCTGGAGAGATGGCTCAGCGGTTCAGAGTACTAGCTTCTTTTCCAGAGGACCTGCGTTCCATTCCCAGCACCCACCAGATGGCTTGGAACTGTGACTCTGGTCACAGGGAATCCTATGACCTTTTCTGGCCTCTACAGGCACTGAACACACATAATGCACAGGCATACATGCCGGCAAAATATCCACACACATAGACTAGAATTTAAAAGACAGAAGTGAGAAGTGGTAAGCAACTTTCTCCATTCTTCTTTCAGGGAGCTGTTCTTTTTTGCATGGAGAAAAGAGGAAGGAAATAGCACTATGGTTGTTTCCCAGCCCTGGTTGGCCAGAGGCTTTTGTCCTTCATCTGTCAGGCCTGAGGAGCAGCACTGCTGGTGGAGCTCAGCTACGGTATGACCAGGATAATTTCGCCATCTAAGGAATCATTTGCAGTGTTTCATTCAGACTTGAACAAGACACCGTGGGGTTTGCTGCAGAGGCAAATGCAATTCTGGTGTGGAGCAATGCATGGCTTGCAGCCAGAGACAGAGAATACTTATAGTAGACGCCCACATTCTTTGCCTTACAGTGAGCTCTCCTTGACCTGTACCCAGCTCACAGCTTCCCTAATTCCATAATCTCCAGTTTTTAAAGGGATCTGTCCTCTGAGGAAGAGCTGCAAACTCTTATTTTCCCACATCACTCAGGACATGTATAAAGGGCCACAGTTAGATAATGGCACGACTTGTTGAAATCAGTGGCTCTTTCCTGTTTAACTTCATTTAGCATTTTTATTTATCTGTAATAACTGTTTATATAGAACCAAGTATACTTTCAGATAACTATGTTCTACCTAAATGCAGTTGACTTCTCTCGTATTTGGGATTGGCTCTGTTAGAATAATAGACAGGGCTGAGAGACACACCAAAGGACTAGTGTGCATTCAAGAATGGTTACATACCTGTTTGTGGGTGGAAAGTGGTTGTCTGTTGAGCTAAATATGGTTTAATTATAATATCCCATTTAAAATAACATTTGTCCAAAGAAAAGATTTCAGCTAACGAATTTCAATGTCTTTTACAGCAACATTAATGACCAATGGGTTTGTAGTGCTTACCCTAAGACCAGAGATTTCTGTAAGCCTGCCCTGCTTTGCTTCCTCCTGTACCAACTGTGTACTGAGCATTGTACATCCCATTTTATAAATGAGGAAAGAGGCTGAGAGGTGGTATTCTAGTTAGTTTCTTATTGCTGTCATAAAATACCATGTCCAAAGGAAATGTGGAGGAAGAGGTTTATTTCATACAACACTCAGTTGGCACCCCATCACTGAGGGAAAGAAGTCAAGGCAGGAATGTGAAGGCAGGAACTGAAGCAGAGTCCGTGGAAGCATGCTGATTACTTGTTTGCTCTTCATGACATACTCAGCTTGCTAACTTATACAATCTTGGATCACAGGCTAAGGGGTAGCACTGCTCCCATTGAGCTGGGATCTTCCTTATCAATCATTAATCAAGAACATGCCCCATAGACTTCCCTACAGGCAATCTCAATTGAGGTTCCCTGTTTACCAGTAACTCTAGCGTGTGTCAAGTTGACAAAAAACTAACCAGAACAAGATAGCTTGTATAATGAGCCTAATATCTTTTTGTTTTGGTTTGGTTTTTGAGTCCAATATCTTATACTCCAAGTTAGTATTTGATTTCAGGCTTTCCAGCCACTGTCTGAACTCTTAACTATATTTTATGTGCTTCTCAGTGGAGATGGAGGGACTTGAGGTATCCAACTAAAAAAAGAATCACTAATGATTTTTAATTAACAATTATGTAATGAATTAATTTGACATATTAGGATATAAATATGAAGCATATTTATGTACAGTTTTTACAAATTCTACCCAAAGATAATATGTCTGTGGTTAGGAGTAGGCTTGTATAACATTAAATACAACTTCTGATGTAACTCTTTCCAATAAAAATACATAGGCAAGAGTTAAGGATAAATTGGTCAACCAATGATGTTTCTTCCAACTCACATTCAAGTTTTAGTTAAATTTTTATGAGAAAATAGTTTCCTTACTGAGAGCTGGAAGACAAAAGAATTTTGCTCACAGTACAAGAGAATGGCGCTGCTTGGTAGTTATGAGAGGAGGCTGACTTTCAGAGTATCATAGAGGTTTTTGTTCTTTTGTCCTGGCCACAGATCCCTCATGTCTTAGGCTTTCAGAGTGCTGCTCCGTTGCCCTGTTACACAGGGCAACAGAGCACAGATGTACACTTCCCCTATGCCGTTAGGTTCTGTCCCTGCTGTTGCAGCCTCTGCTTGTGCCTCTCTTGTAGTTTTTACTTGTCATGTATAAATAAAATTTTATGGCGTTTGAAAGAACATAGCATTTCTAGAATGAAATGAGCAGCGTTTGACGTATTGAAGAACTCTATAGTGGTATTCCTATGGTAAAACCAGTCCTTGTGGTTGAATTTTTTTTCCCAGGTCAGGATTCACCACTGCTGAAATTGAACCCATGGGGGTCTTCCAGTTTTCCCCTAGTTCAAGAAATGTCACAGTGTTGGAGGATGCACAGACAATCCGAATACATGTGCAAAGACTGTTTGGGTTTCACAGTGATCTGCTTACAGTCTCCTACAAGACAACGGCAGGAAGTGCCAAGCCTCTGGAAGACTTTGAGCCCATTCAGAATGGGGAAATTTCTTTTCAGAGATTCCAAGCTGAGGTTGATTTTGAAATAACCATTATTAATGATCCACTTCCTGAGATAGAAGAAACTTTTTACATTAATCTTACTTCAGTAGAAAGTAGGGGACTGAGAAGGGAAGATGTGAATTGGATACCTCGTCTAAATCTAGATCACAGTGTTGCATTGGTCACCATACTGGACAATGATGACCTGGCTGGAGTGGGTGTTTCTGTCCCTACAACGGCAGTGATGGTGGCACTTGACAACACTCTCCCTGCTGTAGAACCTGGTTCCACCTCACACCCTAACAGAAGCAAGGTAATTGCCATTCCATACACCACTGAGATGTTTGCCACGCTTCCAGAGACAACAGATGGGCCTGCCACCCCCGAGAAGCTTGTCACCACTCACAGTGCCATGTCAGAGAACCCTGATTTGGCCCCGGGAACTGCTCATGCTGTGGACTATGGAATACTCAGCCTTGGACCTCCTATCATTTATGTGGCAGAAGACACGGAAAATAGCACATTCAGCACCACAGAAATCCTCATCCAGAGGACAGGTGGCTTCACAGGCAACGTCAGCGTTACAGTGAGGACT